TGGGGTGGATATGGCATGAGCCAACTTGCAGAGCACACAAGGTAATAAGCTCTACCAGCAATGGGCGGGGTTCGCAAGGAGGCGATGTCGTGGATAATTCTCGAAATGCATCCGGAATAGCTCGGGGAATTTGGAATATGAGGGGGGGGGGGGATTCGCCCGGCGATCCGACTGGTTCTCAGTTGCTAATCCCTGACAGTAAAGAGGGAGCCTACCATGCCTTGTTCAGTTGTTCTCATGTTCGTTGCCGTTTGAGTGAAAAGGTGTCTGGGGTAGTGGACGTTCTTAATTTTGAGATTGTGGTGTGTTCTCTTTCTCGAAACTCCTTGCAGCTGTCTTCGTAAGATCTCGAAGCTTATTATTTTAGGTCATTCATTTGTTAGTTTTATTCTATTTCCCTTGCGTATCTATTCACACCTATTGAACTCCGTGTATGGTATCGTTCACCTCATTAGATAGGCATTCCTCCTGTCCTGGTCTGAAAATTGGTCTAGAAACATTGGTCTGCATTTCTGTATCCTACAGAATGAACCTCACTTGTTTACCTCTACCTGGTATCAATTTTGTTTACCATTTGTGCATTCGATCCCTCCCAGCTAGAGTGAGGTTCAGTTTCGGTGACGCTGTTCTCATGAATAAACATCCTACAAATCCGGCGACCACAGAAGCAATGTGGAAGCAATACAGACAAGTGGCGACCACGGCATTCAAGCTACGGGCTAAGAGCGGAAGTTGTATGTTCCTACGAGCAACTCAGCAATGTTGAACTTCGTCGACGCGTCGATCCTCAGTAAGTTGGAACTTCCCTACCTTCGATGGCGACATTCTCACTATCCAGAGTTCTCCGCGAGGTTCTCTACTTTGGCAGGATGCAAAACTCAACTTGACGATACTACGAAGTTTCACTGTTCAAATCTTACTCCGCGTTTGCGCTCTGCAATCTATTCAAGGACTGTCAATGACACCGTGGAAACTACAAGATCGCCTTTGATATCCTAGCAACTCATTACGATGACAAGGTTACCATGAAGACACATCCTCTACACAAAGTTGTCCCAGTTACCTAATTGCGACCCAGAAGGACGCAACCTACAGACCTTATACAATCAAATGTTCGCATTGGTTCGACAGTTCACCGATGGACAGGACGATTCTTCAGAAACAGGTTTGGGTACGATTCTCCTCAACAAGCTACCTGCCAGAGTAAGAAGCCAAATCTATGACAAGACTTCAAATAGTCATAATCTCTCACCAAGTGAATTGCTTCACTTACTTACTGACATAGTACGTAAGGAAGCTACACTCTTCGAGATAGACTATCATGCTCACTCAAACCATTATACCCTTTCTGTTCTCCTAACGACGGATTTCAAGCCGTATCACAATCAAAACCCCAAAGATCACCCACAGACCCGATGTCAAGGACGAAGATGTGCCCTTATTGTCAAAACCCTAACCACCGTTCGTTCACGTGCGATGCATTCCCGACAGCAAATGAGCGAAGCCGTCAAGCTAAACGGCTACAACATGCAGTTGCACCTTTATTACAACTGTCTATCGAGTCAGCACACATTGAGTGACTGTGGCTCCAAGCAGTCCTGCAAGTTTTGCGCAAGACGCCACCACTCTTCCTTATGCTCCGCACAGTCAAGTTACGAAGGAGAACGTTCAAAAGGAAGAACCCTACCTCACCAGCTATATTTTAACAGACTGAAACCAACCAAAATAATGTGTAACTACAGCGACTAATGAGACCGATCCCAACTGTCATTCGGCAAAGAATGACACAATCCATATCACTCGCAGCATCTACAACAACAAAAAGCGCAATCTATGCCTACACAAGCGACGCTGATGTGTACTTCGGTACGCCTTTTCAACCCATCAGATACCTCGAGAGCTACGATCGTGACAGCATTTTTGACTCAGGTTCCAGCCAATCGTGCATACAGACAACGTAGTAGAGAGACTTGGTCTTCCGAATCTATCATCTACTTATATATAAACCATCAGAACATATTACCGTATCAACTTTGATTCGTCTATTCCTCTGCAAGTCAAAATCTCATAGCCACATCGTCGGAATCTGCGCAGAGAAAGGAAACAAGCAACTTCATGTGAAATCGTTGCCCACTCTGACTGGACGTTTGAGACATGCGCATACGATTCCCGATTCGCACAGTGATGATGTCACAATATCCTCATGTAAACCTTCTATATTGATCGGCAACGACTATTTCTGGGATATGGTGCTCTCTGATGATTTCTACTTCGAAATACTTCCCAAACGGTTACCGTTCACTTCACACCACTCTTGGCAATGTTGTTGTTGGAAACGCCTTCAACCTCGAAACTGTAACCACCCACACCACCTTGCACAAACGACAAGCGCTCTAAACCAATGCACCATGATGACCCGTCCAGACTCTAACTTATGGGAATTGGACGACGATGAAATAATCGACGATTTAGCTCAAGAGGATGATCATGACGTTCTTCTTCAAGTCTTCAATAGCACTAACGATCACAGTGATAACGATCAGCAACATATAGTGTAGTTCGCTGCGGACGGTTGGGCGTGTCAGTGCGGCTGCGTTTGGCGCGGTGCCAAACTCGTTCTCCACCAATTGTTGAAGCGGGCAAAAGTCAATACTGTGTCGTACCCTTCGTATTACTCTTTTTCTACCACTTTTTGTCGCATGCGCCTTTCAACAAGACGGCAGAGAAAGGCTCTGAAGGTGTGAACACTAATACTGGCCGCCACGCCCAACCGTCCGCAGCGAACTAGAGTGTATTGTCGACGTTCGTTCACAACAGCTGATAAAAAGGCCACTGCTACGAAGAGGGAAGGTTTGCTTATGAAACCATTTTCATGCTCAAAGAAAAATGTATCAGCTAGGACACTGTGTCAGACCAGTCAAGAGCTACCGCTGAGCCTCTCATGAATTCAAAAATGAGAAAATCAATCAAGAAATGCGAATCAACCTCTGAAAGCAAACGCGCGGTAAGGAGTCTTCCAACCAAGCTGAGGAGAGAAAATTGGATCACAAGAAGCAAAGGAAAGAACAAAAGCCTGGAACCACAACAACCATGGAGATGAAGAAGGAAACTTTGATTACGAAACCACCGCCCAAATCGAAGGGCATCGAGCCACCCAACCATTCGCCGAAGCCAGAAGGACAGAATTGAATACGAAGTCCTCTATTGGTTCGGAGAAGAAAACTTATGTGGAGCGTCGGAAGAAGCTGAAAAGCGAACACTTCGCTGTAGAATCTCCTACTCCATCGAAGAAGCACTGCTCCACCGTTCCAGACACCGTCCCCATCAAGCCATGCACATGGAAACAAGGAAAGATTCCAGTCATGCAACAGTCACGATATCGAAGTCGTGGAACAAGCGACATCACCACTACAACGAAGAAGAACGATAACGAAGAAAGACCTTCATATAAAATTCTATTGATTTTTTGTATAGCAGCTGTCTAGCTTTGTACCTTTCTCGCTCTTCTTTGTCCTGCTGGAATTTCTGTATCCTAGAGAACGATCCTCACTTGTTCACCTCTACTTGTTATCACTTTTGTTCACCATTTGTGCATTCGATCCCTCCGCAGGCTAGGGTAAGGTTCAGTTTCGGTGACGCTGTTCTCATGAGTAAACATCCTACAAATCCGGCGACCGCAGAAGCAGAGGTGGAAGCAGCAGTACAGACACTGCAGTCTTGTTCGTCGCGGTAAAAGGGGCGTGTCGCGCGCGATGGCTTTGACACGGCGCCAGCATGTTTTTCACCAATTGTTGTCGCTTACCCCTTCGACAAATGAAAAAGGACTAGCACCGTGCCAAACCCAGCCCCCTGACACGCCCCTTCATCCGCAGCGCCCAGAACTGCAGTCCGTGGGTGGACAACTACTGACACCTGCTAATTTTCTGCTCGTCTCTTTGGGCCATGTTCATACAAAAAGATTCAGCGAATGCCTCTAAAAAGAATGTATGCATACCGATTTTAAAAATTTGCAAAGTCTGCGAATTCTGTGGAACCCGCAAAATTGAAAGAATCGACGAAATTGTTGAAGAAGAGTCCATAGAAATAACTTACTCAGCCTCACCCTGTCGGCGCTTTTTAGACATCTTTGGATCGATATGTATGTATTCCTTTTCCACGCCGAAAATTCCACGAAACTCTGCGGATTCTTCGAATTAACACACATACGTTCTCCCCTCAATTTGCCGAATCCTCAGAGCGGGTTCAGACCTCACGATCAGATCGTTGATTGGATTGCGGACCACTAAATTCACCGTAAAGCGCTGTAACGGCAGTAACTGAAATTGCGCCTCGTTCACGCAGTGCCAGCTTGAAGTGTGCCTTGCGGCAGTGCATCGTTGGGCGGTGGATCGGTCGTTGCCGCGCGATCCAGTCGCTCGAGCGATCCTATGGCGAAGTCTGAACGCTGCCTTACTGCCAACCGGAGAACGGCCCATTGTGACCTTTGTTAGCTCAATGCCTCTCAACCACCAAACAAGCACGGCGTCACCGTATATAGTCGCTGGGAGAGGGTGTCGTATTGGCTGGATACTTTTTAGCTTTCTTTTTCGTTTCGGGTGCGCTACATTCCTAGTAAGCTATGTCTCTACCTTGGCGACGTGTTGGAGGTACTGTTTGTAATATTTTTGAGAGAGGAGGGGGATGTGATTCGGGGGGAGGGTGTGTCCGTCATTGTTGAAAATAGATAAGATCACTGTGCCTGCGCGTGGCGCTCATCTAGTACAGTTGTCTTCTCACCGAGACATTGATCGCAACAAGCTCATCCAAAAGGAGCGTCAGACGACCAGAGTGGACTCGAAACGTGTCCCCTTCCCTACCAACTCCAATGACTCCTTCATATTCATCACCCACTATATAAAATTTGCTTCGTTTGTTTGTTTGTCTGTCTGTCCGGAAATTCAGGTTGACCTGAACAACTACTTTGAGACGTCGGGTCAAGGAGGGCAAGATGTAAGGAACATACATGACCTGTGCGAAGCCCGCCTATATGGGCGGGCATGCCCTGAAAGTTGCCAGTGCCGCAGAAAAATCAATCTTATAACTCGCTCCTGCCCAGAGATGGGGAAAAAGTGGAATAAGGTTAGGAAGGGGTTCTCGAGGGGCGTACCTGAGATAGGCGGTGCTTCCCACAAAATTCATTAACTCGGCTCCCAAGAGAGTTTCAGAAATCGCAAAAAAAGTCGATGTAGGAGGGCAACATCTGGGGAGAGTTTGGCATGCCTGAGGTGTGTTGAGACCCGCCCACAGTGGGCGGAGCTTGCTCTCATGTAGGATGTCCATTTCAGAAATTTGTAGCTTGGTTCCACTCCAGAGAAGGTCAGCAAAGGGTCGCTGGCTAAGAAATGTGGAGCATGCATTCTATGGGCGGAGCCTACCCCGAAGTGGGCGGAGCCACGCAAAAAGCACTGTAAAACGGTGCCGGAGCACTCCAACGACCGGAAAGAGGCGGATTAAAGTCAGAAGAGTCGCCGGTTAGGAAATTCGAGACACGTGTTGTGGGCGGGACCTGCCCCGATGTGGGTGGAGACAGATAAATAGGTCTGTGGCTCGGCTCCGGACAACTCAAGGCACAGGAAAAAAGTGGATTAAGATCATGGAGGATTCGCCGTTGGGAAGTGTGGGGCACACGCTGTGAGCGGAGCCTATTCCGAGGTGAGCGCAGACAAACAAAAACTCTGTAAATCGGTCCCACAACACTCCATACCCTGCTAAAAAGTAGATAGCTGTCAGGAGATCACGGTCGATGCGGGACATTTCGTTTGTATGAGAAGCGTGCGACGAGGTGGGCGGAGCCAAACTTAAAAATTTGTAGAACGGTTCCAGAGCACCTCAGACACTGGGGAGGGGGGGGGGGAAAGTGGAGTGAAATGGGGTAAGCGAGGACTCACCCGTTTTTGAGTGCAAGACACGTCCATTGTGCGCGGAGCTTGCGGCGAGGCGGGCGGAGCCAAACGCAGAAATCTGTAAAATGGTTCCAGAAGCAGACTCCAAGCACCGGCAAAAGGTGAGCAAAGGTGTGCAGGAGCTCCGCTACTGAAGCGAGATTTACGCGCCATTGTGTGCGGAGCTGTGTCAATGTGATGGCGGACGAATGTCAAAAATTCACGAATCGCAGAGCAGCATAGGCAAATGGGACAAGTGGATTGAGGTCCACAAGGGATGAGCGGACGAAATGGGGGAGACATCCCAAAAATGGGCGTACTCCTTTCAAGATTAGCGGTGCTTGCTGCAAAATTTCCGCTTCGGATCTGAATGAGCTTGGAGTTTAGGAAAACTGTTGGAGAAAAGAAACATATAGCGAAGTCGGGTACGTCTGTGATGTGTTGGGATCCGCCCTCAGTGGAATGGGCGTGTCCTCAAGCACGAGGTACCTATTTTCACAGCGTTTTAGTGCACAGGGCGCCTTACCCCTTGAACACTTATCGTCACATGTGTGAGTAAGGTGGCCTGTGCACTCAATCTTCGTTTGGTACCAGTCGGTTCGTTGGCTGATGCCGGCGCGACTTCTTCTCTAATACGGCCAGGCTTTGTCGATTTCGCTTGGTTTCTCGTGCTACCTGCTTCCGGGTGTTCGAATGCTCGACTATTACCCGGTTTCTCTCTCATCTCATCATCGCTGCTTCATCAGCGTTGCTTGTCACCATTCCATAGACTGTAATAGTGTCAAAAGTAGCAGGTATGATGTTACTGGTCAAAGAGCGTTCACAATGTGTGCAAGTGAAAAAAGCCGGATAGTTGTTGACGGGTGCAGCCGCACCCACCTGGCGAAACCGGGCCGTATCACAGAAGGAGGCGCGCCGGTGTCAGCCGGCGAGCTGACCGGTTAGTCTATATCGGCCTACGACTCCCTTAGGCAGTTCATACTCCACTCATTTACTTCTCTGTACCTTAGAGGACTTAGAGGACAAGATGAGGGTTTCTGTAAGTTGGCTATAGTACAGGACATCCGAGGCATGGCACTGCCTCGCTAGTTGACGTAGGAGACGCAGCCGCGAAGGGATTCCCCAGCCGAAGAGGACACGTTATGATGTATATGACTTTCCCGCTGGTGGGCAACGCTCACATAGATCGCTTTTTTTGTCTGGATCCTTGAAGCGAAGTGAATTAGCGTTGCCGGAATTTGGTGTTACTCAAATTGCGATGTTCAACTCACAGAATGTACAACTCGAGCTTCAGTATCTTTTTAGGGTAAACTTAAATCACCATGGTTGACCCAGCTGTTCTCAAGCAAATCAAGATCAAGACAAGTGTAGTAAAACGTCTAGTAAAGGTGAGCCAATTTACGAACTGATCTCATTTTGTGGAAGTTCTTCACAATTGTACGCCTTGAAATTATTTATTTGACCCAGGGCACAGTATCGCGATGGGTGAAATTACGGTACCACTACGACCTCCGTTCGAATTTCCTCCATCGGTGCGACTAAATCCACGGCCTACTTAGGCTCTTACCAGATCCCTCCAAAATTTTGCGGTCGAGCGGAGGAGCGAGTTGGGCACGGCATCTCCGTTTGCCCGTACAAGCAGTCATTTTGCCCTGCCATCGCTAGAGGCGGGGTGGGTGTATAGCGCGCGTGAAACGAGGAAAATGGATTGCAGAAGAAACTTGGCGCAGTTCGGCCTCGGGGAGGGGGCAAATGGCACTTAGCGAACATAAAACAGGTCACCTTGTGGAGACTTGTGAATTCCTATAATCGCAGTGGCTCACTTGTATCACTCTTTAGCTTGGCAAGAGCTTACACCCCACCGAAGCGGAACAGCGCTTGAAGGCAGTTGGCACGATAAATCCCCCAAGACGACTAGGATCAATACTCCTGGCAGGATAGAATTCCGCGACCCTGGGCAGGCGCTGCATAGCGGTTTCCCCGAGGAAGGTGCCCTTATAAGGGCCCTATCAAGCCACAACTTTACGTCCCAAACGCCCGCCACGCCCGCCCGCCCACAAATGGACGACCGTTCCTGACGCTCGTATTCATTCATTTGCTAAGCAAATTATGAAGCGAAGGGATTGGTATGAAGCGGCCGTGATGCTGCATGCATACATGGGTACACATATGCAGCCGTATCTTCGGTAGCGGTGATTGGTAAGATGCCTACGGGAAACTCGTCCGAAATCGATTTACAAGTCACTGAGAACGGAGGCTTTTTCTTCGCAGGATTTTGACCGTTTCACTCCGTTCTTTCGCCATTTCCCCACTATACAGCGCCCTACTAGCATTTTAGGCTAAGTAGGAAACCATCGTGCCAACTGCCTTTAAATTTCTTTCGCGACCCAATGCCACCCGTCTGATAGTTCCGCACAGCGATGCTCTACCCTGATGGACAGCCAAAAACATTCGCCACTCCTTCGCGCGGCTTCTACTTCACTGACACGCCTTTTCCAGAGTGTGTGAAGCCGTGAAGGTACAGTGTTTGAATCGGCGTATAGAAGGGAGCTTCCAGTTTGGAACGGTGTTTGTAGAAACCAGGATTATACATAAGAATCTGTGGGCAGCTGTGGAACTCAAATGAGCACGCCATTTTCCAGGGATCACATGCTAGGACATCTCTTCATTGAAAACTAATTCTGTGATTGCATTCTTACTGGTTTTCAGTCAAGAACCTGTACTCGCTAGGCGACTCTCTAGTTAAGGAGCAAGCAGAAGGAAACCGTCACAAACCCAGCCAACCTGATTCCTCGCTCACTAGGCCAACAGCTCCTCATTGCTTCAAAGAAAGGTAAATACCGACGTACGCGTCCTGAGGTACTGAGTTCGAAACAACCGTCGTAGTTCGCGAAAAGACCCCTTGCGTCGAGTCATGAAGCCCTTTTGCTTCGTGATGTTTTACATGAAATTATCGAAGGCACTTTTGTAAATAAGGTGGTTGTTAATGTATTCGTGAACTCGCGGTCGTAAGATAGCAAGTTCAGTCCCCTGGAGATAGCAAGTTCAGTCCCCTGAACCTCTTAGGCTGCGTTCATACTTTACGACAGCATCCACCAGCGTTCCGAGCGTCCGGCAGCGTCAGCGACTAGAAAGTATAGGTATCGATCTAGCGTCTGCCAGCGTCTACCAGCGTCCGCTAGCTACCAGCAGCGTCGGGGAGTGGAGAGTAAGGGGCGATATAAAGTTAGCAGACAGCTGGTGGAGTATCGGGAGATATGAGGGTAGCAGACAGAGTGGGCGGCAGATGCTGGTCGCTGGTGGACTTTTCACTAGCGTAGGCTAGTGAAACGCTGGTGGACGTGGCAGATCCTAGATCGATACATATACTTTCCTAGCCCTCGTGACGGTGCTGGTTGCTGGTGGACCTGGCAAACGCTAGATCGATGTCTTTACTTTCCTAGTCGCTGACGCTGCCGGACGCTTGGAACACTGGTGGACACTACTCGTCGCTGGTGGACGCTATGAACGCAGTCTTATGAAACATGGCTGGAAAGGCTTTTAGCATTGCTCTACATCACTGCTGTTCTTGTGGTTCTCTGTAAGAAGAGTTGCGAACTGTACGTGCCTGGCAGTTGAACGGCTTCTTCTTACTGCGTTTCGGTGGTGCACGTCGCTCTCCTTTGCCACGTACCCTTTTTGCGTTATTGCGGAGTTCTTGCTAGTTTTCGAGTACCTCATGAATACCATCGCTTCACAATGCTGGCCGGCGCGCCAAAGGAGATCATCTCAATTTTGACTTGCGCTCGGGTCGTGGTAGTTTTCTTGTTCATATGGCGGTTAAATACGGAAGGCAACTAGCTTAGAAGGAGCAATATCAAGGCTACACCGGTGCTAGGGCAGAGCCATCCAGCTCTCTTGCATGGAGTTCGCATCGAACATTTTTGCACGGAGTGGGCTGTACTGTGCCGTTGAAGACGGACAGTGTGCCGACAAACTTTTCCCTCTGATCGACGATTCGCTTCGATTTCGTAGCTGCTTCGTGAAGGGTGGAAGTGTTGGATGTAGAAAGCAGCTTAACAGTTCCACGACCCACAAGTCCCTCAAGCTGGCTTCACATGTGCGCTCAAAACTCCTTTCTCCATCAAAACTGTAGGCTCCCGCTTTGAAGCAATACGTCGTTGAAGGTTGTCCGATATTGAGGGCATCGTCCTTCTGCAGCTCCATTATTTTGGCATCTGCAGCTGTCATGCTGGCGTCAGGGTGGTAGAAGAAAGAGTTTGAGGAAGCGCTTGGAGGGTCGTGCCGATGGTAGCGGATACCATTCTTGTCCACATTGCAAAAGAAGAAGTAGGAGTCAAGTGAATGGCACTAATAAAAAGACTATAACTAACTGCTATATAACTGCGATGCTGTATAACTGCTCGCATTACTATCCCTCTCCAGGTAATGGGCAAGTATTTCGGGTTTAAAAAACTTTCCCGCCAACCTAATACCTAGAAAGAAAGTGTCTCAGATGTCGCTTCCGGAGCACGCACGCTCCCGTAATTCCAAATGTGAATTGATCTTGTCGCGAAGGTCCTGAAGAGACATGCCCACTGAAACGACCCTAAAATCTTATAACAATTTCAGGAGCATGCAAGTTATATTAAAGAAGTCGAGAAGGAGATGCAGAAAATTGAAAAGATGAAGGCCGAAGCTCAGAATGAGGACGATGAGTATGCTGTCAAGAAAGCAGGACAAGTGCTACAGGTACTGCTTCATTTCATATCATACGGGGTAAAATGAACATGAATGAGCTAGGAAACTCGAGGAATGATCGGCGATACCGCTCGACGATGTGCAACAGCCGCTTCGGAATTGCAGAAGCTCATAGATGAAGCCTCTCTAGAGGACTGCCAAGAACTGACTGAAGCCAAAGCTCAAATTGAAGCCGCTTCTGCTGTAAATGTTGTGTAAGGAGCTGTTCTGACTTCTTCATTACTGCTATTGTTGCCTTTTTTTCTTACTGACTCTATTTGCTTGCGACATCCTGTGTTTGTGCACGATCTCTTTGTTCTAAGATAAACGCTTAATTATTTGTTCTGTCTTAGGCAGAGCAGGTCAAGATAAAACAGACAACGTCAACATACAGTTACTCGAGGGTAAAATTTAGAATTTTATCGACGAGCACATCAACCGCTCGAATCAGGGAAGGGACCGTCTTGGAAGCGCGACTCTTTCTTCAAAATTCGCTGAGTGATCCTCTGAAGAGTTAAAGGGGGTTTTTTCCTCGCATTCATGTCCACATGCATCGTATGAAAGCGTAGAAGCGTCCTCACATAAAAGAGGAAAGGATATGTTAACAGCAATGAAGCACAGCTGATAGTAGCCGGTGTCATACCCAAGAGGTCGATACCGGTGTGGTGTTTAGTCATTGCATCTTCTGACAACATCGCTAACGAAACTTCTGAGGCTGCGTTTATACTTTGCGGCAGCGTAGCGTAGCGCTTCCAGCGTACGCCAGCGGCAGTGCCGGGGAGAGGATGCATATCGATCTAGCGTTCCCAGCGTCACCAGCGTAACGCTAGCGTTTCGCCAGCGTTTCACCAGCGTTTTGCTGGCGTTTGCAGCGGCAGGGGAGTAGAGACTATGTGGCCGTAAGAGACGCGCAATCGATGTGTATTGTAGAGACTATGTGGCCGTCAGAGACGCGAATCGATGTGTATTGTAGAGACTGAGGGCGAGTGAGAGACGCGCAATCGATGTGTTTTGTACCCTCCAGCTCTCCCATAGTCTCTACTCCCCTGCCGCTGCAAACGCTAGCAAAACGCTGGTGAAACGCTGGAGAAACGCTGGCGTAACGCTAGCGTTACGCTGGTGACGCTGGGAACGCTAGATCGATATGCATCCTCTCCCCGGCACTGCCGCTGGCGTACGCTGGAAGCGCTACGCTGCCGCAAAGTATAAACGCAGCCTGACATCTGCTCTTCCGTACTTGCCTGTAGGAGACCTGTGATAACTCAAAGTGTACAGAAGGCCAGAAAAGACGATTTCTCCTCGATCTTCAAAGCGAAATAAATTGCACTTTATTGAGGTCCGATTGGACATTTTCACCACCAAATGCAACAACGTGTGCGCGATCACGAAACACCGAAGCCTTCTAGACGAATGCCATCGAGGAATTCTGCCACACGACCGTGATTCGATGCCTGAGTTCAGCGAGGTCGCTGATTTCTCTGCTGTAGACCACCCTGCTGAGCTCCGGTGACCGAGGGCTTTGGGTCAGGCGGCACACTTGGATATTTCGTCTTCTTCAGGTTCTCAAAGTTCTTTGATTCCAAGTAGGCGAGAGTTTTTCGATTCCATGTGCTGGCTCAATCCTGTAGCAGTACGAATTTTCCAAGACTGTACAGGCAACGACATGAAAGCAGGATATTCTCCTCGAGCTTTCAATGTAAAAGTCAGCGTTCACGTTCAGTCAAAGTCCACGAAGACAATATCGGCCCATTCCAGGAACTTCCGGTCCATACCATCAACCCGCGCCTTGGCGACTGCAGTGAAGATGATATCCTGGACCGTAGCGACGTTGTCGGAGCTGCTCGATGTTGGAGGTCTTCCAGATCAAGAGTACTGGTCCCCAGGTAGCTGTCCATGGGTGACTCGATCGAGAAATTTCGCAGCTGTCTGGAGGTGACGTGAATTCCATAGGAGTTATTCAGTTCGGCTGCGATTACAGATGGATATTTTGGTGTACATGAAGGTGATGGACGAGAGCCTGCTCCTGCTTATCGGGGAACATCTTGGGTATCTTTCGCCCTGGTACGTACTCATATGGTACGTACTCATTATACAAGCACTCTTCCACGTCTTCTTTCGTCTCTTTACTGACTGATATGTGTCTCAGGCAAAGAGTTTTTTTTGCCCCTTCTGTAGACCTTTTGTGACCTGGAACAGTGCTTGTGCCTATTTCCTCTGACATACGTCATAATGCTTTTCGCATCGAACTAGTGTTCATGTTCACTCACCATACAGTCCCCGGAGAACACTTCCAAGGATCCTTACCCCTGAGGACAAGTTTCCGGCAAAATCTGAGGTTTTAACCCATTTTGGAAAGTGGGGTATTCTATGGGTAAACGGCAATAGTTTGGCGCTCACCTACCATGAACTTTCCCTTTTCTTAGGGTTTAGTTTCCTCCTAGTTATCAGGAAAATGATGGAGATGATGCCAACACGTGAGCCAGATACTGTTTTCTGCATCGCTCAGTAGCTGCTATA